CAGTTTTACATATACATAAACACAAATGTATACGTACATATTGACACATTGAATAAATTCATGCATGGTAAAGAACTGAAATTAAATTGTATTTATTATGGTGGGTAGCAGACAGGTGGGTCCCTAGTGATTTTAAATCTGAGGGCAAAAGAACTAAGAGGTTCACATGGGTTAATCTAAATATTTAACAATTATAAGTCAAGCTAACAATCAACCAAATATAGATATATTCTATTATCTTTCTTGACAACACACATTAAATTCGACTGTTAGACCAGATTTTAATAAATACTTCTCAACTCTATGAAATTACACACAAAACTTTGTCACCCAAATATGGCTCCTGCACTGTAACCTTCTGCCACTCTCTTCCTAGCCTCAGTTCCTTCCAGACTACTCATCAGTTTTGCCCCATTATAGGGTCAATTCTTCAGCCAGTGCTTTCAAATCTTCAGTAACCCCAGCAATTGGAACTGCTTGGAACACTTTCGATCTAGGGGGTGATGCACTGGGAAGCATGCAGACCACTGAAGTGGCTCTTTGGAAGAAGCCCACAAGGACCTTAGAGGTAATCTAACATCTGTTTGATCAAGGATTCTGGGCTTCCAGGTACCTGGCACACAGTGAGGAAGGAGTAGAGGGTAGTTCATAGTTGTAAAGTTTCCCTTGGCCCCATGCACTCCTCATCCTGTACAGAAGGACATAGATGGCTAGAGCAAGGCTCACTAAATTGTGGCCGTAAGTCATGGGCCCCTCTTGTCCAGGTTTAAGAGCCACACTCACAATGGTCAAGTATTTTAAATGACATTTCCTTAGAGGGTCTATTCAGAGTAAAAACTACCTAGAAGTTGTGAGGGAAAGTAATAAAATAATTTATTTATTAAGATAGATTCTTGAACAGAATAAAACAGTCAACTCTAGAAAACAAAAGAATATGTATAATTATGAAAGAATACATTTCCTGAAGTGAAGGAGTGTGAGAGTATGATATCATCTGGAGGTGAGATAATTTGCTCCAGACAAGCCATTTCCTCTCTGTTTCCTTATCTGAAAAATTAAAGGAAAACATTTACCTACAGATATGCAAAAAAAAAAAGATAAATGTATACAAAAATGTAGAGCTAATGATTTTTTAAAAAAATAATATATAATTAATATATATAATTCCTTGCCTAAAATATTTCCATGTCTTTCCATTGTGCACTGAATAAAATTGGACTCCTTACCAGAACTGACAAGAATTTAAATGATCTGGTATTTTCTAACTGTTGTGTCCAGTCTCCAGCTGTTCTCTACCTTGATCACTAGATTCCAGTCACCCTGACATTCTTCTTTCCCAGAGAACAACAGAGTACATTTCCAGCCTTAGTTCACCTGCATCAGTGTTTTCTTTGCTTCAAAAACTCCTGAAGCTGGGGTTGAGGCTGTAGCTCGGAGGTAGAGTGCTCAGCTAGCTCATGCTAGGTGCTGGGTTTGATCCTCAGCACCACATAAACATAAAATAAAAATAAAGTTAAAAAAAAAACTCCTGAAGCTTTTTCATATGGCTGACTCCTTATGCTTTTATCTTAACCTCTAATATCTTGTAATATTTCTTCTAAACTCTATTATCTTTTTGATATCACATTTGTCGTATTTTGTAATAACCCTTCAGGCATCTTTATGTGTCAATGTAGATTCTTACCAAATTTATTACAGGTGCTATGTCTTCTGAATCTCAACCATTGTCTAATATTCTATTGATCCATATCACTTAGCAAATATTTGCAGCTGAGGTATAAAATTGGAAGTACAGAATTGTGAGGGTGAGCATTATTATCTCTTTTACAAGAGCAGTATGTTTATTTTGAAAATTTTCAAATTAACTCCCTTCAGAAAACAACAGAAAAAAGATTATTGAGCCCAGTTCTGAACAAGGTAAAATTCTGTGCTTTGAAAATTTTCATTATTTTATTACTATTTATATTCCTCTAAAACAAAGAAGTTTAAGGTCATGCAAAAATCATTTAAACTTCTGCAGTTTCAGTTAAGCTTATTATTTTTATTGTTTTTGTTTTAAAAGTGTTAATAATTATAGGTCTTTTCATGAATAATAAGAGCTATTTCAGAGGGTGTTTTTATGAGACTATTTTTGTCAACTATTTTGTCAACAGAGTTCTTAAGCCACTGATGAAAAACAATCTCTTGTTGGCTAACAACTTACCCTGACTATGTAATTTAAGTAATTTTATTGCCTCAAAAAAGGGTAATCCTTGTGACTAGGATTGGTCACATTCAGAAATTTCCATAAATCTAACAATAGTTTTGCATTTCCCTCCTGAACACCAGCTTTGCAATTTGCACATTAATACTAGAGTTATCCTATACTGATAAGCTTTATTATATAGATACTCACCTAAATAATAACCTATTTTCCTCTGTTTAACTGTACCTTTAAAATGTTCTCAATAAAATATTAGGTGATAACCTTTAAATTAAATAATGTCAGGTTAAGAAATGTGATATAAAATGAATCATCCTGAGAAATTAATCACAGGAATAATATGAATTGAAATGTAGTTATCTTTAAAGTTAGAGTAAATATTTCACAGTATCTTGTATATAATTTTAGATTATACTGAGGGATATGAGCATGGTATTAATAAAAGTATACCATTATTTCCAAAAACCTGGAAATCATACTGCAATAAGGGAACATAAAAAAAATGAATATCAATCATCACAATGTTTAAAAACTTTAGTTATACCCACACAAAGAATGAGTGTGTGAGCAGTGGTCCAGAATTTCTCTTCTTTGTTGGTTGAAATGCCTTCATCAAGAATTGGAATGCAAAAAAAGTTACAGACAAATGCTTTAGGTCACCAATGATTCAGCATCTTTCATGTGTACACTTGTATCTATGAAGTCCAAAAGAGATGAAAACAAAGTATACAGAAATGTTGGTTCTGATTCTGTAAACAGAACCATAAAACTAATCTGATAGAAATAATCTTGCATTCTGTAATGTTTGGATACATTAGGGGCTGTACCTTGAAAAACAGCATTGCCATGTGTCACTGCAAGATGATGATATGTTCTGAGTCATGCATCATGAGAAAATATTTTCAAGTGAACTCTATAGAGTGTACTCACACCCCAGTAGATGATATAGCTTACTGCACCCATTATGGCTTGTAGCATCCTATATGCTATCTATTGTAGACTGCAACACAACAATATCTGAAAAATTTAAATGAGCTTTCCTTTCTCCCCATCTGTAGGAGTCCTACAAGAATGCTTAGGGATCAAGTAGTTTATTAGTGGATAGACAAGATCTCAAGTTCTTTACACTTGAGAAAGACTCGTTCTCAATTATGAACTGGAGTTGCACAGAGTGTTTTAGAAAACAATATGTTGTAAATGTCTATGAGAAAGGCTAGAACCTGAAGCCCATATCATATCCAAATCAATGGGATTCTCTAATTATCTGAGGAGAGCAACAACAGCCAGTTACTGATGACATAATTTAAGCAAAACAGCAATGGAAATGCTCATGATGGTTTCCCTAAATTTTGTTCTAAGTGCAAATGTTTTGTCTGTCTTGCTAATATGTTGACTGAACTAATATTAGTTTACGTAACTGAAGAAAAGAAAGATACTTTTTTTTTCTAATCTCAGACATAGCTTATAAAATCTGACTCTACAGTTGCAGTTAATATTTAACACTTAGCTTGTATTTCTATAAAACTCATGGATAAAGGCCAAAAGAGTGAAGTCTTCAATGAGAATCTGTTTATTTCTCAGCCACCATAATTGAAGCCCATCTGTGGAAATTAGTCTAGTTTACTCAGTTTCCCTTGTACTTGTACGTGAAGGAGGAAACACAAGAAGCTCTTCCATTTGTTTCAAAAGCACAAGGGAGGAAATGTCCAATTTAGTTTTTGATAAGAAAACAAATGCCACTTGCTTTGTTTTACAGTCACTTTTTTTCTTAATCTCTAGGTTTTAGAATCTCTTGATGGTCACAATTATACCAATTTAGCTACCTGACTCATGTGGGCTTAATGATTAAGGGAACTTGACATCCAGAGTAATAGCTTGTCACAGACAAATACTTTTGGAGAGTCTTGTGAGTTCCAAATATCTGATATGCAAATTTATGAAGAATTTTCATCTAATTGCAGACCTACCAGTGATTTACCTCCTTCTTCTTACATTGGAAACAAATTTAGCACAGAAAAGGTCTTTTGCTAGTGGCCTTGTTTGTTCTTCCAGAACAAAACAAGGAAAATACCAAGTCAAATAAGAGGTTACCAAAAAGTTTTTGCAGTGATAAACAATAGATTACTCACCAATTATACATAATAGCACTTAAAATACTTGATAATTCAACCACTGCTATTGCATTTTAAATAGTTCTGAATATATATAATTTTCATATATATGTGTGCATGTGTATAAATACACACACACACACACACACTTTATATTGTATACTTTATAGCAGTGTACCATGGTGCATGTCTATAATCCAGGCTACTTGAGAAGCTGAGGCAAGAAGATTGCAAGTTCAAGGCTAGTCTGAGCAACTTAGCAGGATCCTGCCTCAAAATAAAGAAGAAAAAGCACTGGAGATATAGCTCTGTGGTACAGTGCCCCCGATTCAATCCCAGGATTGCAAAAAATAAAAATAAAATAAAATAATTGTATATTTTATATATTTATTATATATAAATTCAATTGTATACTTGAATTATTTTGAAAAGAATCAAATTAAGAGTAAGTAAAGAAAAGTTTAAATATGTATATTCATAAGTACAGACAATACTTACACATATGTATTATTTTTAAAATAATCAAACTAATAATAAGTGAGGTGGGAAATCCCCATAAACCTTTGAACAAAAAAAAAATCAAAATTAAAGAATGTTCTTGACATGATTTTTATACCCCAAGTCCCTGTCAAATTATATATAGCAAATAAAAATTATTATGGAAGAGTATGTCTCATGTGTCAGACCTTTTCGTGGACTTTCTGGCCAGGTTCCATCCCCTCAAGATGCTCTGACTCTGTGGATCCCTCACTTGACGCCATTTTTCTTTGTATATGAACATTTTGCTCCCGCAAGGCAACAATCTGCAAAATAAAAACATTATTCCTTTAAAACTTAAACAGACTAAAAAAATTAAGTTGTTTGTGGTTAATAACTAATGAATAGTAATAAGTGGTCAAAAACTAAACATTAAATTTTACTCATATTATTTCAAAAATATTTTTAAAATTTAGACCAATGTTTTAAATAATGAGAATTCATAAAACCTCTCCTGCGAAAAGATTAAAGCTTTGTGAAATGTATGTAAGAAATACTTTCTAATCAAAAAATTTACCTAGGTGGAAGCCTATCTAAAGGAAGATGTTGATCTGACCCATGTGTAGTTGATTCTGAAATTACTTTTGAAATTAATTTGTGAGATTTCATAAAAAGGCTTATTGTCTTTACTTTCAAAATATGTAAGAAACATAAATGAAAAGATTGAAGATTGAAGTTTAATTATGGTCATAATTGTTTATCCTGCAGTGGTAGCACATTTGCAATTTAAAAACAAGCAAATACAGAAGCTGGATTTAAATAATTTTGTAACACTATCATGAGAATTTAGAATCAAATTTGTCTCAACTATATTTTATTGTCCATTAACTTAGCATTTATCATCTAAGTTTTCTTTTTCTGCAAAATATTTCAGAAGCAATTAATTTTTGTAATTTCCAGCTCAATTTTATAGACATGATTATTTCAACTAAGAAATAGGTTCTCAAGTAGTTGTAGTATACAGGAGATTAGCAATATACACAGTGAAGTACAGTATTCTGACCCTTTTAAGATTGTATGTTAAAATAGATTTTTTTGTAGACACATAATTTCAAAATATTTTTCTTTATGTTAATGTCATAATTTATTTCACAACAAATGTTATTATTTTATCAACTCAAAAAATAGTATTTGATCTAGGATAGATCAATTTGTGGTATTTAAAATACAATAAATGATATTGATATAATCCACAATAGGTAGCAAAACATAAAATTGATCTAATATTTGAAATGATGAGACCAACGTATCACACACATAAATAATTACTAAATAATGTTAAGGACATCAAGAGGTTGGGTATTTGTGGTGTTGCTGTCAGTCAATACTTTAGTACCTGAATCTGCCAAAATGTGCCTCTGAGGTCAAGTGAACTTATACATGACTCCTGGCATCTGAACACATAGCCTGTCATTTCATCAGGGCAGATCATCACATAATCAAGAATAGCTATGTGAATGTTCTCTCTCTTGTAGCACTGCAATCACCAAATAATTGGTTCCTTCACTCTCATTCTTGCAAATCTACAACCTGTTATCCACAAAGCCACCAAGTGCATCCTTATCTGGAAGTTAAGTTGTACTACCTTTCAGCTTCCTAAAAATCTACAATGTTTTCCCAACTTATTTAGCTTATATTTAAACTAATTACAAGTTCTATACTATCCTATATGATCCCTTTTATTTGGGAACACTAGCCTCTTTTTATTCCTGAAACATACCTAAAACTATCTTCCCCGGAACTAAGGAACTCCTTTGTCTTTTTACAGGAGCCATGGAGCCATTTTTTTCTGTCAGAGCTGATAATATCCCCCAGTGTTCAAAACTCAGCTGAAATAACTCCCCTCAGAGACAATGCTCCTCCTCAGATAACACTTCTCACAAAACTTTCCTGTTTATTTTATATGAGTCTATAGCATTTATTAAAATGAAATATTTTATTCCTTTATTTACTTCACTTTGCTTGTTTATGCAGCTTGCAGAAGTCCTAATAATACCACATGGGTAACTCATTTTCAAAGGTATAATTTACTGAAAATAAAATTTTCATATGAAACAGCCACATTTTTATATGCAGGCTATTCAATAAAATATGTTCACTGAATTAATGAATGGCAATGAAAATAACGAATGTAAATCTAATTAATTCATTGAGTAACAACAGAAAAAGATTTTGAGTGCATGAGAAACTTCAGACATTCCTTTTATATTGGGTAACATGAAAATGGGTTACATCAAAGGAAAAAAAAGTAATGAAAAAGCTTCTAAGAAAAGCATTTCATGTGACTTTAACATAGTGCCTGTTGTACAAAATATGTTACTATTGATTCAGTGAAATGTTTTGATGAATTTTTTAAAAATGTAACTATTATGTACCAACATTCTACAAGATAACATCCATGGCTTAATAGATATGTTAAGACAAAAGTATCAGTACATTAAAAAATTCTATGCATTTTCTTCTAGTATTTAATCTACTTAGAAATGAAGCAAGACCATTTTATAAAACATTCATACAAAAAATTTAACTTTCAGTTAACTGATGAATTTCCATTTGTCTAATATGAAAATTAGATAAATTCTAACTAATTTGATAAATTCTAACTATGTTCTAGATCCTAAAAGGAAAATAGAAAAGGGAAGACATCTATAAAATTTTGCTGAATTATTGAAAAGATTAATTAATATCCCTATTTAAAAAAACACGAAAACACTAAATTCATTGAGAAAATACCATGCACAAGCATGATTATTTCACTGTTAAAAATTATAAACTTAATTAATTTTTTTCCCAAGTGTATATGTGTGTGTTTGTGTGTGTCAGTTAATTCCAAGAAAGACATAGTTTTCAGACACTAACATGCAAACTTTTTAAAATAAGTCAAGTAAAAAAAAAAGAATCTTTCCAAACAAGAGAACAAGGTACTTTATTCTATGTTCTCTATCACTCTAATATGATTCTATCCTGCTCCACTTTCTCCAATAACAAATTATTCTGAGTAGTTATGAAAGCAAAGCTTCAGCATTTAATTGTTACTAGCTGATTCTCCTTTTTACTCTGGAGGAAGTGAGGGATTCTCTCCTAGTAATTTAACTTTGGGGGTTGAGCCATCTCGTCAACATGTTCTAAGAGTGAGAAGGTCACTGGTCACCTCCAAATCACTGGTGTTAGAGGTAGTACAGGCCTCTTCCAGGAGAAGTGGACACAGGACAAGGCTGAAAAGTCAACTGGGAACCACAAACAGAATAAAAAGTGGATAATGGTCTCAACATGTTCTGTGAGCTCTCACTGACAGGGAAAGCTATCAGAGGGAGGGCCCATGCAACCTGACTAGAATACTGCAGTAGGTCTGCATCCTTACTGCTAAACAACATAGTCTCCTTCAGTAGGATGACAGCAAGTGAGAGGAACCACTTCTACATAAGCCCCATTACACAGTTCTTCCAAATTATCAAAAAGCACTCAAAATCCACTATGTACAAGCACTAAACTACCTTTATCTGAGAAAGAGGTACTATTCATATTTTTAAAGATGATTAAACTAACATAAAGTTAGATAAATGAAAAGAATTACTACAGTTTGAATGTGTGTATCATCCCAAATATGTTGACACTCAAGATGCAATGTGATAGTATTAAGAGGTGAGGACTTCAGGAGGAGATTTAAGTCATGAGAACTCTGACTTCCTAAATAGGATTAGTATCCTTTATAAAATGGATTGAGGGAAATAGCTAGACTAATTTGCCTTTTCTATCCCTTTTTACTATGTGAGGACATAACTTTCAAGGTGCCATCTTAAAAATAGACTAGGCCATCACCAGATACTGAACTTGCTATACCTTTACTCTTGGGCTTCCTAAAATCCAGTACTGTGAGAAGCGAGTTTCTACAGTTTATACATTACCCAGTCTCAGACATTTTGTTACATCAGCACAAATGGACTGACAAGAACTAAGTAGGAATGAAATAAAAGTTAATTCCATAGATTTGAACTTTCTGCATTATAACAGTGACTCACAAGGTTCTGCATTTGCATTTATGCTGTGTTAAATCAAGGGAAGCTAATAAGAACTGAAGAAGAAGAACTGGAGAAGAAGCCCATACAACCTGACTAGAATACTGAAGTAGGTCTGCATCCTCACTGTCCTTTTCAAGAACAGATATGTTCTCACCCTGGAACCCTTTGTAATCAAAGGTTGGACCCTTCCCTGGACAGATTCACATATAAGCAAAGTTTTGTGTGCATTTTGCGGGGGTATTAATACACTCGTGGCTTATGGAACTCTGTTCAAGAGAAAGTTTCTAAAATTACTTTAACTGATGAGCCAGCAATAGTCAAGTGTCTTTTAATCCAACATCTCTTCACATTTTTTCTTGGTAACAATAGCTTATATATTCGAGAAATTTCCTTTCCTATTTCAATCTCAGCAAGATTTTCAATCAAGGAGTCAATGGCTCATGAAAAATAGGTGGGCACATGATCCAAGCTAGGCCAATTGGAGTTCTTCAAATGCTTCTGGATGAATTGAGGTTGGGGAAAGGGGATTCTCCCGATCTGGTATGGAAGATAAGCTGGTAGAATTCCTATATATGAATAAATATTCCTATATATGAATAAAATAGGTGTAAAAGAGATGGATCCCTGAATAACTATTTTGGCTCCTTATTCTAGCCACTCTTAATTCCCCTCTACCTATGGCATTAATAATATGAAACCAGAATACGTATTATATACCAATATTAATTTAGAATGTTTTTTCTTTCACTTTCAAAAAACAGTGTCCTTGCAAATGCATTAGAGAACATTTAAGGCAACAAATAATATGAAATATGTAAATGGAGATTTTGCAGAATATCTAAGAATTCACTGAGAAGATAATAGCAGAAGGCAGAAGACATTTTGGGTGGATAGAAGAGCACAGGATCATTGTATTCCTAGTACTTTGTATTCATAGTACTCTAGGTTACCAAGGGAAAACAAATCTATATATGTATACAGATATCTGAGAGATGATGGAGGACTGATTGACTAGCAAAGCTAAAGTGTTCAAACTCAAACTTGGATTCTCTGTGCTTCTTTCTTTTTTTTTTTTCTTTGTCCTGATCCTTATTTGTGTTTCTTGGTTGCTTATCAAGCTTCTGACACCTGACCCATTACTTCTGGGCAGTCCAAAAATCCATGTATTTCCAAGATAGTCTTCCAAGTTTCATTCTTGTCTTTGTCTCTATCAGGTTGTTTTGGGCTGTTATCAATTTCTAACTCCA